TATGCAGAAGAGCCAGATTTTTTCCTGCCCCAGTTCCGGGTAGTAATTTTTGCTGCATTCACTAGGAGACATCTGCCTGTTTTCATGCCCACAGTGTAAGCTGCATCTGCAGAGGAGCCGCTGTACTCCATTATCCTGGGGGCTATTTCAGGGCAAAAATGCCTATTAACCGCTTACACAGAAGCACACAGTGGACAAAAGCATGAGCAAAGCAAGTAATGATGCATCACGCCCTACACGCAACTCACCTGCCAAGGCCATGCCCGCGTGCTGTGGCAGTGAGGCTGAAGATGCTGTGCCCACCCCTCACCACTGCCCAGAGGTCTGGGTGGTGATGTGGGACTGTGTAGCAGCCACTCCCCATCCCTTGCCTGGAGCAGTGAAATGAAACAGGAATGAGCTCTCAAGCAGATAAAGTGAAAAAGAGCTACAGAAACCAGAAAGGTCAGGCGTGGTGCGTGTTTCAGGGTACGTGGCTGACTGGAAACAAAAACAAAATCCTTGAAAACTCAGAGAAAAGAACAAAAGGTGGGAGAAAACTACAAAAGCAATATGAGGCACTGAGGGGCTCTGTGTATTGATGTCTGAGACGGGCTCTTTAAAAGGGAAGATAATGACACTGGAAATTATTCCGAGCTTTTCAAAGGCATAAATGACCAAACTGCCTCCTGACTCCTGAATTACATTATCCAAAAAGAACTTAATAGCATGTTATTATCACTTCTCCTCACTGACAGGATTTCAGCACTGAAAAGACAAACAAGAAGCGCATTCACAATGGCGGCCGCACTCACCTCTTCATGGCACCCACGACAGCTCATTTTGGGAAAACGTCCAGCGGTGCGTGTGGGGAGGCCAGCAGTGCAAATTAACCACCATGGATGGGTAATTGCCCCAGTCACTGCCTGGGGGATGGGACAGGAGTCCCAGAGGTGTTGGCCTGCAGGATCTGCAGCTGCAAGGACAGGCAGAGCCCTCAGGCATGGCTGCCCAGTGCTTCACCTGCCTCCCGGAAGGCCTCTGTGTAGGCCGCAGGGGCCCACTGCAGCACCCTGCCTGGCCCCACAGCCTGCCTCCACAGCAGGAAACTGCAAGGCACAGCCATCAGCGGCTTCTTGTAGCCCTTCACCACATAAAACAATCCTCCCGCGGCCCCAGCTCACACCCGTATGTTCCAGGTGTGCTGACACACCAAAGCAAACCCCCAGCCCATGCCACCATGCTGCTCAGCCTTCCATACATTCTGTTGCAGAGCAGCTTTCTACTGCTCATCTCCAGTGCATCTTCAGTGATGTACGCATCTTACATTGCTGGGCATTCCTTTCAGCCTTATCAGCATGATGGATAGTTTAAGCCTGACAAAGGACAAGATAGTAATAACAATGGCTGTGATTACTATTTTTCATATTTTCTTTAGGAGAAATATTATATTACCAGACTTAGTGCATGTCACTTTATTTATTAGCTACCATTTAGCAACCTCTTCTGTCATTGGTTTATTAAAGTCAGAGGCATTATGAGGCAGTCAGCTGAGAGGCCAGAGGAACCTGCAGTCCACAGACACCACAGAAGACAGCCTGCAGGGACAACCACACTGGATAGACATTTGCTTGGTCACTTACATCCACACTAAACCTACAGCTGCAGGGCTGCAAACTAGCAGCTAACCTGCATTTTGCATGCATGCACACGCACACACACACACAAAAAAAACCCCTCCTCCTTCCTACTCTATATTGTGCAGGCTGAATGGTTGAATGAACAGTTTTTAACAGAACACTGAAAGTGAGAATACCTGGAATGCAGCAAGTTGGGTCAAGAGGGAAGCTATGCAAAGACTGCAGCTAGTGATCTGACACTGCCACTGATCTGAAGTGTCACGGAGAACTCCAAGCAGAGGGAAGCTCTCTGTGTCACACAAGGCAACTCAGAAAGGCAGCTCCCTTTTGAGAACATAATTTTGAGCTTCACTGAAGCTCCTGAAGGAGGCTGGTGCTCCTGAACGTGTCACAGGTTTAGTGGAAGCCACACAGAGAAGTGCAGAATCACCTCTTGCTTGAGCTGCAACTTTCAGAGATCATTCAAGCTTAGCTGAGGGTGAACACACTGCAATGATTCCTGGAGATGACAGAGGCTTGGATCACTACACTTCCAAGAACTGGCTGCAGCCTCCCAAGAAAATGCAGGGAAGGTCTCAGTTGTATGCAGGTCCTGCAAGGGGCTCAAACACCCTCAAATAAAGAAACAATGGGTGTTTCCAGCATGGGCCCCAATTCCCACCACACAAAGGTCACTTAACATCCCTTCAGCTCACTCAGGAAGACTTCATCTGGATGCAAGCAGAATTTACTCCTATTTTAAAGCTTCAGGCAGCCTTGGTGTAAGTGGGTTCCCAGCAGGATCCTGGAGAGGAGCACACAGAACCTTCACATGAATGCACCAAAACGCGGGTTTCATCTAAGAAGGAACTGAGAAATGCTGGGCAATTCAAGCTGCAAGGTAAGCAACCCAGTCTGGCTTCAAGCCAGGGCACCCAGACTCATAGCCAGTCTGCAACAAAACCAAACAAAATGGCTGGCAAGCACCGGCCTGGGCATTATTTCAGAGGAAAGACAAGCCCAGGGTGGGGAACTTTCTCTTTGGTTCCAGTTCAATTGTCCAAGGCATAACTTGTGGCCATTGGCACACATTAAATTATCTGGCACTGCCAAGATGATTTTGGCTCTGTTGTCTCTCTAACTTCTTCTCAGTTGTTACCCATTATCAGGACATCCCTTTGCTTCACCTTTGCCAGACTTAATAAGCCCATCTCCTTCTCAGGCTGCAGGAAGCAAGTCCTGGCCATGCTGATAGCTCTCCAACAGACCCTGACCAGTTTATCAACATCCTCTTGATATGAGAGACTCAAAAGGGGAACAATGGTTCAGGTGTGGACTCACCAGCACCAAACAGAAGAGTACAACAATCCAGCCATGCTTCTGATATAACCAAGGATGTGACTTCCACCAGTATAAACGAGAACACACTGCAAGCTCATGCTTATGTGGGTCCACCACAACCCCCTCCAGCTCCTTTTCAGCAGGGCTACAACTTTGCTGGTTTCTCTTTTCAGGAGAAAGGCTCTAGTGACTCTTCATGAAGTAAGAAGTCAGGGAATTTTACTGTCACCTGCATGATGTTTGGGAAGGATAATGTTTCTCAGGAGGGTAATTCATGAATTACTGATGCCACACTCTCGCTCTCCAGCTCTTTCACAGTCCTGAGCAAATGCCTGGAATAACAAGGATGTCCCCAGCCTGCAGGCATGTTGGTGGAGCTAGAGCCAGGTGGCCAAGAGGGACTGCAGAGCCGTGCCAAGCCTCCCAGCTCTGTACCACAGGGAGCCAAGACAGGCTCCAAGCTGAGGGCTTCAAATGCACCAGCCTGCATCCCCAGCAAGTGACAGCTGCTAGCTGACCAGCTGGAACAAAAAGCTCTGGAGAGCCCCCAGTCTCATATGGAGGAGGAAGGATAACAGCCACATGAAAGCTCCACAGAGACAGAGCCAAAAAAAAGCTCAAAGATACCTGCAAATGGCTGTGCCTCAGCATTACACCACACTGCAGTGGCATGTGGGGTTGTGGGAGGGGAACTCTTCACTTTGTCTGCTTGTGTCTGGGCAACCTGCAAAACAAAAAGCACGTAGAGCAGACCAGAAGCTTTTAAAGATTATGCATCAGCTTACAGACACAACAGTTTTGGGTATTTACTAACTAAATGGGAAAGATGGCACATCTTTATTTTTCCTTTTTCCTTCCTTCAAGTCTCCTCCCTTCCAAACCTCAAGCTCCCAATCTGAGCTAGAAACATTAACTGCTGGGAGCACACAGCATCACACGGAACCTTGTGCTGCTCTCCAAACAGCTGCCTGCAGCCTGGCAGGACTGCCCAGCACAGCTATTAATGGCTCACGATGAAGCTGCCAGAGCTGGTCCCTCTCGCAGGCAGTGGGGCAGAATGGCCATTGCCTGCCCAGCCAGGAGTGCATGAAGATCAGCAAGCCAGAAGCAGAAAGCCTTTGGGCTTTGCAGGTTGACCACATGTAGCATAGTAAGAGGTAGTGAGTGTGGAGTGGCTGTTGCCTCCAGAGACAGTTGTAGAGGGGAAATGGACAGAAGCAGTGGCTAGAGGCAAGAACCATACCAAGAGTTACATAGCCCTAACAACCCCACTTGGAATCAACTTCAGTGGTGGCCAGGCTGAGTGGTGGTTGCAGTTCACTTGCTATGAGATGCAGACGGTGGCTTGTTTGGAAAGCTTCTACACTGTGACTGCACCAGGTTCACAAGTCCTCCAAGATGGCAGATGGCACAGCACAGCCTAAATCTGTACATCTGTATGCAGCCAACCCATTGTCATTAAAATTCACTGGACATGTTAGGTAAAGCTCTGGTGTTTAGCTTGCACTAATGCTCTCTCACTTTTTGATTTGGTTATGAAAGAAACCTGTTCACCTGCGACCCTAAACTCCTGCACAGCTTTGCAAGGCAACATCATTCTCACTGACTACTCCCATTTTCCACCTTAAGCCAACCCAGTGATGCACGTTTAAATATCAGTTGGAAGGCTTTTTTGCCTTCTCAGCACCTCTGAGAGCACCGAGAGCTATTAGGAAGGGAGACATTAGCAAGCTATAATGCAGTATTTCATACCATGGGAGCAGAAAGTGGCACATTAGTTTTGCATCTCTGGCTTCAGCTTAACCACCCCAGTTGTCTGTCCTGAGAAAGAGTCTGTGTGTTCAGGAGTCTGCTTTAAAGCAAATGCTCAATACCTGCACCAAGCAGAGAGCAGTTCATTCACAGCTAAACCCAGGCAGAGTGTCAACTTGCAAGCAGAACAGCAAAGACTGCATTTGCTGGCGGTGAGAACACCAATAAATGCAGGTTGGAGGGAGAAGCCAAGTGCACAGAACTGATGCAGGTTATCCATGTTCGACAAGCACAGTTGGGATGAGGAGGTGTCTTTTCAAAACCCTTTTAACAGATTCACCTTTGAGAGCATTGAGCAAAAAGACAAAGCAAAAATGTTAAAGGGTCAAATGCTGGGTGTTTGCTTGTTCTTTCCTCAGGCAAACTCTCATTGATTGACTGTGGGAAGGGAGAAAGCTGAGCAAAACTGACTGAGGAATCCCACTGCTAATTCTGCCCGCACACAGCCTCCCGGCAGAAACTAATGTCAATAGACAAAGCTCTTTCAAACATACCCTGCTGTCTGACTGCTGCATGCTGCCAAACATGAGTCTGAGGGACTGATGACACACTTCCACTTTTAGAGCTCGCACCTTCCGCAAGCAGCATTGTTAGCAGTTGTGTAGCTGGGTCTTGGTGGGATGAAAGAACAGGGTTGGCTGGGAGCAGGCTGCGGTTCAGCAATCCATGCAGATATCAGCTGCAGGATCCTCAGGAAATGAGTCATATGACTAGGATCCCATTAAGGAATGAGCTTTCACAGATCTTTGAGAGATCCAAACAGTGCTCTGGTCATTATATCTAGACAGGGCTAAGCAACAGTTTTTGCAGAGGCAGCTAAAAGAAGGGGCTGCACAGTAGGTGACTGAGTGCATTTGACCAGTTTTTTGAGCATAGCTCTGCTTGTGAAGAGAATGAGACAGGCATATCCCCCAGTGGCCAGGCTACCAGCTTTAACTGCCCAAGAAAGGTACTGATTCAGCAAGACTGCTCACATGACCAGTTTACTCACATCCAGACTGCAGGATCACTACCTTGGGATTTCTGTGACTTCATGTCGACTCAGGAGTCTCGTCATTGCAGTCACCTCCACTCTATTCCCTGATGCTATTACACAACCCAGAAGCAGGGAGAATCTCTGACCTGTCACTGCATAGGTGGGGGACAAGCTTTGTGAGGACATTTGGTCTTAGTTTGCTTTTTGTTTTCGTGCTTAGCAAAGATGGGAAAGCACATCACTCCTGCTTGTCCCCATCATAGGGAAGGCTCAAGCAATTGACTGCATAGGAGACCAAAAACACGCAGTCACTGTCGCAAGCCACATTTCCACAGTCACTAACTCAATATGTCCAAGTGCACATGCAGTCAGGTACCTTTTGTGAATAAATCCACTCCCTCTTCTGCACAGCCAGTAAGAGAGTCAGTTCACTGAGGACTCACACAGGTACTTACCCACACTTCTACCCCATGATTCCCTTCACATGCGAGTGGACATACTGCAAGGTGATGTTTCACAACTGTGCAAACTGGGAAGCTGTATGAATATGGGAGGACTACATGCCTTTTTTGTGCCTTACTCTCAGGCACAGCCTTAATGATTCAGGGAACCTCAGCCAAACCTGAACAAGCTTGGTGGCAGCGAAGGAACATTCCCATTCAATCTTTGCTACTCAGCATGGAGCCCCTTTTTCACCAAGACAGCTGATGAAATAGCTGAAATGACTTCAGCAGCTACCTCCATCTTGCTGGCTAGTGGAATCCTCACAAACAGCGGGGTCACCTCCTAGGATCAGCAAAAGAGATACCACTGGGCAAGACTTCTTGGTAACCATCCCACAGTTGCAGTGAGACTCATCAGATCTGTCACTTGCACCACCGAGCAAGTGGCAGGTTTTCATCTGAGGCAAGAGCAGTGAAATGTCACAGGCAGTGACAAGGCAAAATGCTCAATGCGCAGCATGGGGATGGTGACATCTCACAGACGTGCTGCAGCACACTTCTGCAGACAGGGAGGAGGCAGGCATGGCATGGATCTGGCTGGCCAGGAGTGGTGTGTCCTACCAGGGGGATGGTAACCACTCCTCCACTCCATCCAACACACTTGATGCAACAGCAGAGGATCTGGATGTGGAACAAACTGGTTGAGCAGAGGAAGGACCAAGATGGTATTTCATTCACCTTGCAGTTAACAAGCACTGCCTTGCATCACTCACTCCCCTGGAGACAGGTTTGAGGTTAGAGGTCACAATATCACCCTGAGTACAGAGCTTGGCACCCTTCCTACAAATGTCTTTGATGCAACACATTTATTTTGGCTGTGTGGCAGCATCTGTACAGTACACATACATTACCAGCAGCTTCAGAGCCCTGAGTTGTCCTTCCTCTTGCTATCCCTGATTTTTGAAAAAAGAAAAATAAAAACCACAAACCATAGGACCACTGCCTCCTTCATTACAACTGCAAGGAAACAGGACTGAAAAAATCCAAAACCACATAGGCACTTGCTGACAACAGAAGAGATGAACCTCAGGAAGCCAGGGTTCCAGTCCACTGTTCTCACCATTAGGGTGCCCTAGTGCTGGAAGTAGAAGCCATAATGCCAGCTCTCCACAAGGTCTCACTTCTCTCTGAGAAACTCTCTGCACATTTGAGCAGATGTTAGACTAGGGAGACTCTGCAATAGCTAAAATACATCATATTGGAATTTAAAAGGATGGGATTTGGGGGTATTCTAGGCAGGGCAGTGATTTTTTTAAATTTTGTAAGATTGTTTAAGAAAGAGACTAGAAAAGTCTTTTGCTTCCAGTGCAGTACCACTGGAATCTGTGTGGAATTTCCCCAGTTCAAGTGGGGAGAGAAAGTACTATGCCTTTCCTGACACACAGTATACCACACCTTCCTTTCCTAAACTATAAAGCAGCAGAACCCTCATACCTACTCCACAATCTTGCTGCCACAGAGAAAGCTGTGCTGTAACAAGCAAGGACAGTGCAGCATGTAACAAGGAGCAAGACCCAAGAATAGCCCACAGAACAGACAGAAAAAATCATAAATGCAAATGTGCCATGGAGAGTAGAAGTGAGGGCGGGAACACTTGAGCCTCTCCCATCAGTTCATGTCAGTTACGTGGAATGGTGCATCCGGCTCAGGAAAGCAATGACCCAGTTTCCCAGACCAGACCCTTTCAGCCACAGAAAGAGTTCATACAAGTTGATCTGCCATAGACTCAGTGCTTCTGTGAGTGAGATGTGGATCCTCCTGAAAATTGAGTGACTTTTGCTCCTCTGATACCTAGAAGGAGAGAAACAGCTGCATTAGATCCAGCAGGACACAGCCCAACAGGAAGATGGCCTATCCTACAATTTCCTTCCGTACAACCAACCCTTCCCAGGGGAGTAGACTGTCCCACTCCTGGATAATCACCAGCTGTCAGGTCTCCTAGGAGTACAGATTTTCTCCAAACAGAAGTTCCTGAGGAATTGGAGTCTCCTTTTCTGGCACAAATTTGGCAGAAGAGACAGCCTGCTCTCACATGAGCCCAGCTCCCTTTGCACTGCATACAGTGCCCAAGGCCATGGCATCCTCTCCCTCCATGCCCAGCTTTACTTCAACAAGGACAGGTGCATACCGCTGTAGCCTTCATTGGCTGCACATTTGTAGCACTCCAGCAATCCTGACACACTGCTCGCTCACATACTTGCTGTGAGACTGGTCCATTGGCCTGCTGGCCCTAGGATTCCCCTTAGCCCTCAGAGAGCAGCCAGTCTTCCAAATCTGGAGGCTGCTCTGTGTCTGGGCTGCAATGTCTGGAAAAAAGACTTACGTAGACACGGCTCTGATGCAGCAGCGAGACATGTTGAGGAAGGAACTGGCACTGGCCCGTGTATGCAGAGCTGACTCAATTCCCCTCAATAAGTCATTGGTCTTCAGCAGCAGCAGCATCTGGCGGGGGACACTGTTGAGGAGCTGGGTGATCTGGGGTAGGTAAGCAGCAGCATTGGACCGGATCTCCACATCCTGCATTCAGCCAGGTCATGTCAGGGAGAAAGGACAGAAAAGCTGAGTGTGGGAAACTCATGTCCAGACACAACTGAGATTTGCAAGGAGGAGACAGCATTTTACCAGGTACTAAAAAGCAAAAACAACCAGCTGGTCCATGTCACATGTGTTCTGCTGTCCCATGAAACTGAAGGCTTTGTGATTTACTGGTAAAGCTATTTCCAAGGCCCCGTTTAGTCCTTGTTTTCAACACAGCTGAGTGAAGGTGGGAAAGCATTATGCATACCTTCACGTTAACCCAAAATATCATAAAACTGTAATTTGTAGGACCCTTGGTCTGACACACCTATATTTTGTCTCGCAGCAGCCATGATCAGATATTGAAAGAAGTACAAAAATCAAGGCACACACAGAGATCTTTCCTTTTCTTCAGCTCCCCAGCTTACAAACAAACTAACCAAGGTAAGATCTCTACCTAGGATGGCACAGCTCAGCAATTACTGACAAGCTTGAACCATGTAAGATGGCTACTATTGTAGCACATACAACAGCCAGCCCTCTGCCTCAGGCCTGCTGCTTCTTGCATCTGACAGTTTCACCATCACTCCAGGAAATGTAGGACAGGATGGTAGATCTGATTCCATGTATACTCTGCTCTTACCTCTTCCTACAAAGGCCATGACATGAATTGGTAAACCCCCAAAAAAGTCCCTGAAACACTTGAAATAGCCAGAATCCAACAGGACAGATGTAGAGGGTAGTAAATGACTTCTTAAAGAGAGAGAGGGTCCTTTGTAAGGAAAGGAAAGGATTGCTATAAAACATTCTCTCCTATGGAATGACAGATTGTGTGTATGTGTACGTACTTCATGATATGAGATCTCATACTCAACTTTTGCAAACTTAAGACTCAATACAGAGGAAAAAGCCCACACAAAAGCAGTATGCAGGCCATGGTGGTCATAGGTCTATCTAGCTCAAGCACCACCACGGTTGCTTTGGTGTTGACAAATAAATTATAAATGATGTTCTGGCTCTATTGCTGACCAAACACAAAGCTTCAGAAAGAAGATGCTCAGTTCTCCTAAATGTTAAATGTTTCATTCCACTATTTGTTGGCAGAAAATTCTCTGCTGATATTCATTATCCTCACCAGCACCACAGCAGAGGGTACTTTATCTTCCACAAAGAGGTTTTGTTTTCTCTTTCTTCTCTTTGTGTTTTTAGCTCCAGCTGTTTGTACACACCACATAGCAGCCACATGATCTGTCATCAGAACTGCCATTTTCTGTCAGGAGTGAAGCCTGCACACGGAGGAAGAATTGAGATGTGCCACAGGACCTGAGAAAAGCCCCTTGGCTGCAATCACAGAGACAGCTGCGGGATGCAGCAAAACGCAATCATAAAATCTGATGAGATAGGGCTAGCAGCCACCTTGAGCAGTCAGCTGCCTGCCTTGGCTTTAGGCATGAACAACTACACCTAGAGAAATCCTCACACATTTGCCCAGCCTGTCCTTAAAACTCCCCAGTGATATGACTAGCATCCTCCCCAGACCACTGCACCAGTATCTCACTACCCTTTCCATTAGATCTGGCTTTTCTCATATTCTTACTCAAATCTTCTTAGCTGAAATTTTATGCCCATTATACTTCCTGTCCTGCTTGCAGCAGTCTTTAACAGACTGAAATCACACACACAAATTCTCAGCCTGAACTTTTCTAGATTGCTTCTGCCCTGACTTACCTCCTGAGTTAGATCTGCTTGACCACCAGTCCTCATAGCTTCCCACTGGCCTCTCCCAAGTTTCATCAAACCTTCCTCCAGAGGCAGTGCACCAGATTGGACATAGCACTGCAACTAAGATTTTGTATCAGGAGGGTCTCACAGAACATTCTCCTGTCAATCCACCCTCATGCACCCTCTCACAAGCCCCTAGCTGATGGCAGCTGCCTACCAGAGCCACTTGGCTTTCCCGGCTGATACAATCTTCCAAATTCACCTCTAAACTAAGGGCAAACAGCAGCTCATTTCCTAATGCCACAGTAAATCTGCTCAGCTCCCCATTATCTGCTACAGGATTATCTAGTTTCAGCATTAATTGTGTCATGTAGGCAGAGCCAACAGAGCTGGCTCCATACAAGCAATCCAGTTCTGACAAAGTTCGTTAGCCCACACAAGGCACCACGCGGCCATGGTTATATCTCTAGCATAACTTACATAAGCCGGTTTAGGATAAACATTGCTTACTAGCTCAGATTCAACACTGGCCTTGAAGTATTAGCCGTGTAGTCAGCACTGTGTTGGTTCACTTTAGTGCCCCTACTTTTTTTTTTTTTTTTTCCTGGAGCTATCAGCTTCAGAACTCAGCAGACCAAAGCACAGATCTGCTAAACAGTCATTAAATCATTTCTAATACGCACAAAATTAACTTAGGTAGGAAGCAATCAAGTTACCAGGGGTGTTCTTTTACCCAAAGTATCTGGCCTATTCACTACTGTGTGTAACAGCAAGCCAGCAGAGCAAATTCAGCCACATCCACCAAAATGAAATGCCAACCCAAAGGGATTTCCAGAAGAGAATTTAACAGAACAATATTTTAATGCTACTTAAATTATTATCATCCTATCTACAACAAATGTTTGCAGATAAGAACAAAACATAGAATATAACATATTTCTCCCTACAGACACTGAAATCACATCAGTATATGCTCATCTCTAAAAAAAGCACAGCTGGCAGGGGCTGCTACTATTCTTAAGGCACTGCGTGCATGTAACGAGCGCTAGGAGGTGTGAGAAGGATCCCAGCATGTGCAGATAGGGAAGGGGGGGGGAAAGAACGTAAGTTGCAATTTCCCACATTTGTAGTGATTGAGTTGACAGAACCTGCAGTTAAGCAACCTTGACTTCAAGTTAATAGGTTTTGTGATTGGGAGGTAATTTCCAAGGGTTTTTAGGAGTTTGTATCAGTGCTGATAGTCATTTACATGAATAGTGATAATGCATTACCCTTCTCATGTCTTCTTCCCACTAAGACTTTATGTCTCCTCTGCCTCATCCTATCCTCCTTGCTGGTTGCCTGCACAGCTGCATTAAACACTTCTTTTTAAGAAAAGGCTGATTTGCCTTCCCAGAACTGGTGAACACTAACCCATTAAAATATCGTACAAAATTTAAGCAGCCCATGACAAGTGAAACTGGGAAATTAAGTTCAGCCACTATAAAACACATTGCAGGAAAAACTCCTCACTTTTTTCTAGCTTAGCTATAAATGCAGAGTTTGCCATGGAGCTGTCAAGGGTTATCCAACATCACTGCGATAGCACCAGTGCAAGTAGTTAAAACAAGGGAAAAATATCCAAGGAGAAGGAAGGACTCCCAGTACGGAAGGGCCCATGAGTCCTACCTCGCTGGCTGAGACTGGTGACTGGTCAATTCCCCTGTTGACAGACTCCCAGGACCTGGCGGTGAGCATGCAGGCAAAGAGAGGGTACAAATCCCCTGCCCCGAGCCGCCGGCTGTACTTCTGCACCCTCTTCATGTCAGCCTTGATAAGGGCCTGCCAAAGGCGGCAGTAGTCCATGCGGAATGACTCGCTCAGCACCTGAGGAGAAAGACATGACCCCTCAGAAGTCCACAGAGAAGAAAGGAGGAGGAAAACTGTGTCCCCTAGCTGTGCCTTATCCCCCAAGTCAGGAAGTTTCCTTAGAGAGTTACAGGAAAAAGAGGAGAAATACATTCATACAGGCTTCAAGGAGCAACAGAGCAGCTGGTTATGATCTTCCAGCCTGATATTCAAGGGAGCCCTGCAGAGACCGGGAAGCCCCCCAGTTACATACCTGGTAGAGCCCATGGTCCAGGAGAATAATGTAGGCCTTGCCAGAATCTGGGCACTTCTTCACCAGCACATTGCCTGGGTGTGGGTCGCAGTGGACAAAGCCATTCACAAAGATCATTTCACTGTAGAGTTTTCCCAGGTTGCGAGAGATCTGTGAGGAAACAGGAGCTGGTCACACAGTGCTACACAAAGCAGGGTACCTGCTAGGGACAGGAGCAGACCCTGTATGTCTCTGCAGGACCAAAAGGTTGGCACAAGCCAATGTCCTTATGCTGCCATCAACTGCAAAGTGATCAAGAATGCTTAGGGAAGGATCCACACAGGAAGCAACATGAAGATGTTTGTGGAGTCAGAAGTTATTTTAGAACATTTGCCTGGCATAAAAAAAGAAAAAACATCTGTGAGTATGAATAGGGTTTCTAGTAAGGAGGAGGAAAATGAGATGGAAGATATAGGCAGATAAATATCAACAATGAAGGCATGGAAGAAGCTGCTGAGATGGGTTCTAGGAGGACTCGTGTTTCCACCCACAGATGACAGCAGGAACCAAAAGTGAATGGGTGGGAGGAGATTCAGCCTGTTCATCTGCTTACTAGAGCAAACGTGGGTTCCCTCTGCCCTCCCTCCATCACACCATTCCCCACTTTCACTCTTCCTTTCCTCGTCCCATACTAATCCAACTTATAATATCTGTGAAGATGAAGCAGCACAGGAAAGCTGTTTAAATCATCCTATCATTGCTGCATACCTCCATACCAGTGCTCCTCATCACTCATAGATGTTATTCAAGTTAACAACCTCCTATGTGCAAACAAACAATACCAGGGCCTCAGATCAATCCCTCACCACGGTCACACAGAAGCCTCTCCACCCTGACATTCCACTGCCAGGCCTCCCTGCCACCAGAAAGTGGCATAATACTCCACAACGGAGTGCTGACCAAACAATTACAAGCCAATTAAAAGACAATCATTATAAATGCCACCAGACACACAATGTAAGCAGCATACAGATAGCTGTCCCCATAAGCAGAGGTAATGTTATACTAACCAGTGCGTCCTGCAGAATGCCTGGCAGCCAGGCAAGGTCTTGTTTTACCACCTACAATACACAGCAGCCTCTGAGAGGAGCACAGTGACTTCCTCTTTAGGTAGCTATAGAACAAAGCCACACTACTGCATCAGGACAAAGTATGTGAAGCTCCGTACCAACAGCCTGGAAGAGAAACTGGAAGACCACCAGCCACCAAGCTAAAACACCATCCTTATGAGGAATGCTCTCGTAACTACAAATGATAAGGAAGCATAAGAACTGTTTCTGCAGCACATCGACTGTAGAGCAAGGAGGGATAGCCCTCCATGCCTCAGGTGAGTGCTGGAGCCATTACGGAATCATGGCGAATGCTGCCCTCACACCAAATCAGACAACCAGGTGGTATATCACAGTCATGCAGTTCCTTATTTCCACATAGGTATTACCCTAAGTTCTGACAGAGGGGAAAAATGTTTCCTTCTGAATTACCAGCACAGATCACTGAAGCAATGAAGGACAGTACAAGAGAGACACGGACATATGAAATATTGACATCCTGGAAAGAGATGCAAATATACTAGAAATAGTTCAACATAAGGCCATCCAAATGAAGAGACTGGAGCTCCTCTCTTGTGAAGAGACTGTTCACATTGAAATGAAGAGGCTCGGAGGCACCTTATTGACGTCTGTAAATGCCTGAATGGAGGGTACAGAGAAGAGGAGCAAGGCTCTTCTCAGTGGCATTCACTGCCAACAAAAGAGGCAACAGGCACAGACTGGAATATGGGGGATTCCATCTAGAGATGAGGAAGCACTTTGTTACTGTGTGGCGGGTAAGCACTGGCACAGGCTGCCAGAATAGTTCCAGTCTCCTCCTTAGAGATCTATATTTCTAAGGTTTAGAGTGCAAAATGTGAATAGCGATCTGTCATTATAGCTCAGACAAAAAGAATTCATATTTACAGAAAGTTAAGAAATAACTGCAACCCCTTTGCATACATTCAATGCAATACAGCCCCTGAAGTTTTCAAAGTTGCATATGCTATATATGACCTCAGATACAGACATTTCATACATCCAACTCTGTAAGACTTACGTAGCTTCATTTTCTGCACACATTTATCTCATGCACACTTGCTGAAGGACTGAAATGCAGATATTCTGATAGGATTCTTAGACTTAAGAAAAAAATACTTTCACTAACCATTCTAAGTGAAAAAAATTAAAAAAAAAAAAAAAAATTGAATTCTGTTTTAACCAGCTTCCTAGCTTTCTATTTCTACATCCCCAAAGGAGCAATAAAAGGGGACCAGGACAAGGTTTGATTTTCGAATATTTATGGGAATAAGGTATTTAATATACTTGTGGAAAAACAATTGGAAGAGCCTGTCATCTAAGCCACCAAATTTCCCACACGTGCTTGCCCGTTTTCTTTCTCTAGTACAGTACTTCATCACTATTGGCCTTCAGTGCACTCTTACTGAAAATGCCACTGGATAAATAACTTACAAAGAATTCATTTTGGAAGAATGCAGTCAGGTGAAATGAGAAAACAAACACATGAAAACCTCTACTGTGGTGAAGAGAGGAATTCAGCACGCATTTAGGCTGTGTAAGACCTTGAGGTGAAGGTGCAGAGCAAATTAGACAAAAGGTTGCAATAATTTACGGTAGCAAAACCAAAGTAAACACAAACAGACATTATGTTATGACAGGAGAGGTCACCATTCCTCTCCCTGATTGTCATTCAGTACGAGGTCCTTAGGACTACCAGGGTCTACCAGCTTTGCTCTATTGAATGTAGTAAAAAAAAAAAAATTTAAAAATCACCCTTGGAATTCTACATTCACTTTAAGACACCTCATTAATAGAGACTCAGACAACATGGAATGTGTTTACAGAAAGCAAATAAATGAGCAGCATGCAGGAGGAATTTACTTAGGAAAAGGATTAAAATAGCTGAAGATTCTGAAGGTGGCTAAGGAATAGCAGAACAGAAGCACTCTAACAATTTTAAAAGGTTTGAATACCAAACAAAGAGAGGCACTTGTAGTGCTGAATGTGCTACAAGAAATATAAGTAAGTAAAAAAGGATGTAACTAAGAATGGGACAATTTAGGCATAACATACAAGAAAAATAACCATGCTTGTCGGCAAGCAGAGCTGAGCTTGATAGATCAAAATGACACCAGACTGTCTCTGGCCAGAAGCAAGACCTTGCCCATAGCCAGAAGGTATGCTACTGCTTAAAAGAAGTTCAACTTGCTCTCCTGTGCAGCAGCAGAACACGATTACTATAGGCACCAAGCGAGCCAACAAAACAAAACCTCCCATCGCCACGTTACGTGACGTGATCATTGCGCTGTGTCAGGCAAGCCACATGTTTTCAATCCATTCTTTTCCTTTTTGAAAACGTAGCTGAGGAATAAGTAAATTATACGAAGACTGCTCCAAAATTAATGCCTCTGGTTTTGTTATGCTGGCCTGTAATGTCAGAGGTAGACGCTGGTGGCACAGCAGTAGAGGTTGAACCTTCCCACCAATATTCTGTTACATGTTGTTGCTGGGCAACAGACAGCAGCAGAGGGGCAATCTGACAAAATGGTGCCGGACAAGAAAGCGCATATGAAGCAAAGGAGTGGAGTTGAATTTCTTTATGCAGAAAGGATCCCACCCACTGACATTCATTGACACTCGCTGAATATCTATGGAGACCAAATAGTGGATGTGAGCACAGTGATGCAGAAGGTGGTGCAGACTTCTACAAGCACAGCATGCACACTCTTCTTTATCACTGGCAAAAATGCATAGCTAATAATGGTGACTATGCTGAAAAAAACTGATTTGCAGCTGAGAATTTGCTCTATAAAACAGTGTTAATGTTTTCTTTATATTTGTTGTGCTTTCCATGGAAATAAATAGCAGACATTACTTTCAGAGCAACCTATGCATTGGCTTGTAACTCAAGTCCTGCTTGAGTTACAATACAGAAGAAAATAAGAATGCAGTACAGACATCAAAATCTAAGACTAATTTCAATCACATCCAGCTTATGTCAATTGCTTCCTTTTCTAACAAATCCCTTGAGTTTAACTCGTCCTTTCCCCCAACAGTGTGCTTACCAAAACAATAATTACCAGCATAAGTACAGCATGAATACAGCCCCATTTCTACAGAATGTCCCTTTATCTGATGTGTTGAAGGAGTCAACCTACCTTTAACACAGTTGCACCATACTGAAAACATGCACTCTGCCACCTGAGTAATATCCCAAATTTAATTCTAATATGTCACTTTCCTCTGATAAACTCCCAGCATTTTTCAGAAACTCTTCTCATTAGTTTTAAGAGTACAGCTTTTCATTTGGTATTTCTCATTTTTATCCCTTTCTATCACTTCAGTCCTCAAGGCCACCAAGTGCTATTGCTACTTTAATCCTTCTCTATAGTGACAGACCCTCCCAAATTGGTGCCATCTGCAACCTCCTTCAGAAAGTTCTGCTCATGTCAAGGTCATTACTGAAATTACTAATAAAATCAGTGTGAAGGGCAAACCTTGCAAAGCTCAGCTACAGTAACATTTTTCCACAATTGCCTCTATCCATTTCTTACCTACCTTGTGGCTTACCCACCTTTTCTAGTTATCTGACTCGTAAGTAGCACACCAACTGTTTTACTAAGTACACCTACTGCATTTCTGTCACCTAATTCAGAGGATCTCAAGCTGTATGGCTGCACAGATAGCAGTAGTGATATATTTCTTCTTGTACATACACATAGCTTTGCTGTCATCAGTGTTACCCAGCACTGCTGGACTACAGCTGACAATTTGGAAAGTATAGACAACGTTATCCTCCTGTGTCCCACTGCTTGATGAACTCATATCATATCTCCTTGCAAAGAACTCCATAGCAGCAAAACTCCAGACACACACCAGCCCCTGTAAGTAACGAAAATCTTAACAGCACAACCAGCTGACAGAACAACAAATAAAAAAAACACTAGAAGGCTCATCACAAATAAATACCCTTACAAATACTAGGGCAGTGTGAATAATTATCAAGAAAAAAAAAAACCATGAGTGAGTGCAAATTTAAGCCTACGTACACAAGATGGCAAG